TGGCTATGGTTGCTGGTAGTGATCGCATTAAAAAAAAAAAAAAAAAAAAAAAAGGATGACCTGCTGGTTGCATTGAAGTTGATTGAGAGATTGACTTCAGTACAATCAGCCTATCCATAGATGGATCGAAATTTTGATCCATCTATGGCCGGCTTTAGAGTCTTTTATATGATAAATACTTTGTATCTATTTGACCAGTCTTATATCTTTGCTCCAAAGTCTGAGCTTGTAAACAGAGCAGGGTAAAATGTTTTGTTTTTTTTAAATGTCCCACAAGAGTACAGTACAACCATATTGTGAGATTATTATAGATCTGAATTATCAACAGATCTACAATCAATTGAACTGAAACCACCAGGAAAAACATGCAGTTAATTTGAACAGTGTTAAAATAAAATTACACACCCATACCTTCTTGTGTCATGGCTCATGTTTTCTTATGGCAAGATTACAAAGGAAAGCAATAAGTAATTTTTGCTTATGATTGCTCAATAACTTTGAGGTCACAGTCTAAAAAGAAATATGAAAGAAGCTTAATAACATAAAGAATATTGTACAAGAGAAAACGGGAATAAAGAGAAATCAAAGAAAACAGGAAAAAAATAATTATTTGACGCTGAACAGCAACATGTGTGCAAGAGTGATGGGTTGCTGGGTTGGCACAGGCAGCCGGCCCCCAGGCACAGGCGGACCCCCCCCCCCCCCTTCCATCAGATCAAAGATCTTGAGGGCTATTGGTATCCATTTTTGTATGATAAAACAATATCCAAGACTCTCAGGCACTGAGATTATCCTCCCATGAAATTATTTACTCTATGTTTAACTTTTGGTAATGGAATAAACTGTTGTGTTTAACTTCTAACAAATGTCAGCTGAGCTGCATTAACTATTTAGGGGGTTAAGTTGGTATGTCAACTTTACTTTGTAAAAGGGCCTGCAAGGACTTTTAGGGTTATCCTAATTAAATAATGATTTGAAGAGGGGAAATAGCTTTCCTGGGCACTTCCACCTGATATGGAACATATCCCTAGCAGCCGCAGAAACATTTATCTGAATAACTAGGATAAAGAGACAAAATTCTGAAAGGAACTATATACTATCTCGTCATAATTTTATACTCCCCTTCAGTAATATTTCTAAGCATTTAGCACCGTTGTTCCAAATCATTGATCAGTTCTCCTCTAATTTTGTCTTTTGCAGTCCCTACTCCCCATTTTCTTCTGTATTTGTGGGTTGTGGTAATTAAACTGTGAATATAGGATTGAGCTCAACATTAGGGTCATACAGAAAAATATGTTCAAAACGCTATAGGGATTTAAATGGGCCCCTAATTTTTATTAGGGAGGAGAGCCAGTGTTGTATTTTCAAAACCTATAATTTTCTGCTGGTGGAGATTCCTTATGTTCTTGTGTGTAAGACCAAGTTAACTATTATAGAGGAGGTTAGGAAGTGATGAACTTAATCATAACTTTTAGAGGACCACCATAGAAAGGCCCTACGATCAATAAGACCTGTATAATCTATTGTATCAATTCAGTCTTTAGATTCCTACCCTACACTGAAACTACTGTTGTGGATGAACTGGACCATTAAACAAGTACAATGTTGTAGGTAAAACAAAATCAAATGTTCAATATATATAAAATGCTACTTCTGCTAGTCTGTAGCCTTTTCCTTTTTGCGAACTTTATCTCTTTCCTGTTGCAGTCCAGAATCTCATAATTCATGGGACCATTTTACATAAGATGACTTGTTTACAAAAATTCATGGGATCATTTTATGTAAGATGACTTGTTTACAGCACCTTAGACACACATATATCTGATTAATACCATCAAGTGAGCCATTCTAGAAAAAATACATAATTAATGGAGCAAGCATAATGCCTATGACAAGTATTTCATAGTTAAACCCAATTAGAGATTCAGGAGTAAGCCTTTTACTGTAGCAAACACCTTACTAATTTATGAGAAGCTTTCCCGTGTGTACTAAGCAGTTTTACTGTGTGAAAAACATGCAGGGTGTGCATGCTTCAGTACGGCAAATGTATCAGCAACTGCGGTTGACAGGGGTTTGTTAAAATTTTCTTCATAATTGGCCAATGTTGGTCATACAGATTTTTTTTTTGTCCATGGCAGTAAGATGAAGGATTTCTCCAAAACGGTCAGAGACCAGGTGATGGTATCTGTTTATACTGATGTTTGGTTCCCAATACTGCATACTTTTGGTGCAAAACCTCTGTCATTGACATGGAGGCTCTCAGAGCTGGTTAAGGTGAGAATACAAAAGAAGGTTTAGTTAAGGAGTTTGGTTAGTGTTAGGTTTAGAGGTTGGGTATTGGGGGGTTTGGTGTTGGGGGTGGGGCGAGTATTTAGGGTACATTTTTTTAGGAGGAATGTTAATTGTTGGTGTTGGAGGACTGTTCAAGTGACAAGTGTAGGGTTTAATAATTAGTGTTAATGGCTTGCTTTGTGGTGTTTGATATTGTGAGAAATAGCATCAAGGGTAGAGCTTTTGAAGCACACAGCCACTCTTTTTCTTCTTTTTAAGGGGTTTCCCACGCAGGGCTTTGTCGGCATTTCACTCTTCAAAAAACAGATATTTAGCTTCCCGGCTTGTACACACAATTCTGCCGCTCTGGCCTTCAACTTCAGGCTCACAGCTGTCTCCTGCAGACTCCTTCCTAAATGGCTGTTGTGCACACAGCTAGCAGCCCCTTTGCTGCTCTGGCTTCCACCTCTCCTAGGTGGTGCTCTCCTAACTCCTGGGCAATGACCTCCTGTTGGCCGGGGTGGATCCCAGAACCCTAGTCAGGTTATTACTTAATGCCCTGCACACACCTGTATAATTAGTGTGCTGGGCGTTAAGAAAACATGGACCCAGGATTGGAGATTTTATCCCTCCCAAATCACTTTGAAATTTCCAGGCTCCAGATCCCAAAACGGACTTTACGAACAGATGAGGAAAATGAAAAGCCAGTTTCCTCTGCATTGAGTAAACCCTCTGGAGTCCCTCAACCTGTTTAGTTGAGAATCCTGGGGTATAACCTTGATTCCCACTGTGAGAGTGCCCAAAACTGCCACATATACAGTATTTGTTTAGGAAGGGGCTGTGTTAGAGGTACTTTAGTGCTTAGTAGAGTAGGGGTCTGCTTCAGTATAAACATTAGAATCTCAGCACCACAGGAAAGCCAAAAGCTACCAATGGCGGACTCCCAACACTGAGAACAAGTGTCTTGATGGCTTATGCTTAACACAAAAATATTGGCATCCTTAATCTTTTCAGCATCAGTAGTCTTTCGACATATGGAAGATTTGTATATGCAGTGCTGACCTTTTTTTATTACTCGAGAAACTTTCTTTTTTCCAATCCAGATTAGGGAGAATTGTATTAGATGCTCAGGTTTCAAGCAAAAAAATGCCTTAAACTTGGAGGCATGTGGAGTAAGTAAAACGGCTCCTTAAGAGGAAAGTAATTTTGTTCTACTTCCTAATGGCACTTTTTATACTCACAGTATTTCGTACAAATCTCAATATTCCAGATTCCCCTCAGTAAATCACTTCTGTCATCAATATGTTGTACGCTCCCTTAGGTAGCCATACATTTATAGATTTTGCCACTAGCACTGTTCTTCTTGCCCGGTCATACCGAGTGGGACTTGCCATGCGATCTGTCATGTCATGCGATTTTCAAATCGCTTTTCAAGTCGCACCATATTGTCTGCAAATATTGTGGTCATATCGATGCGATTCCGACTTGGCCGGAGCCGCACCGATTTCTAAAGTAGTGCATGTACTACTTCAGGTTCAATTTGCATAGACATCCATGTCTTGCAAGCAGCAGACGTCTTACAAGTTGAACCTGAAGTTAGAATGACATCCGACTTTGAAATCGTACGACTTCCAGTGAAGTTGCGTGATTTCAAAGTTGGATCGGTGTAACCGGGGACTAAAAGGACTTCTGCTGTTATATAACTGTTTTTTTCCGGGTTCCAAAGTAACAGCTTCCCTATGTGTAATATTTAGTTGATACTTAAAAACTTCCTTGACATAATGTTTAAGTGCTTTTGTGGAACTAAAAAGTAAACTGAAAGGCTGTGATAAAAATGGGCCAGTGAGAGTGCTGTTTCGAAAAGAGGCATTTGCACATTTTTTTTTCACACACAGATTTTTTTTTAATTCCCAAATTCTCATTTTATATAGGAATGCAGAGTGGCTGATTTAAGTTGCATTCTAGACAGATATTAAAGAAATCATTGCAACTTTATATTCGTGCAATACATCATTTTATTGTGTTTTTATAAATGTAAGTAGTGTAAATATCCAAATTTCAGCCTCTTGCAGTCCCTATATGGAAGAGCTATAACTGGGGGAAGGAGAAGCTACAAAAGGAGCCAACCAATTGTGCTTGCTAAACCCACAACAGTAAAATCAATCTGTATATACAGTAAAGCATGTTTGTTATAGGCACTGTGGAACCTAAGGGGTTAATCCTCTGCATTGTGTAAAAAGGCTGTTTGATCCTTTCTTCTCTGCAAGTGACCACCTCTTATCTCCAGACTGAACCGTAGGCAGCACATGCTCAGTTTGGTGTGCATTGCTAGAGAGGTTTTTTTTTTTTCTTGGGAGAGTGCATGTGGTCAGCACAGGGCCAATCAGCACTGTTCAGACAGAAGTCAGGGGAATTGCATCCTCCTAGAGCAGAAAGAAAACTCCTCCTACAAGCTTTAGTTAGTGCTCTGCTGGACACTGATAGAAGTCACAAGACTGCTCTAACTGCTGATGATAATAGGTATTTTGCAGTTTATATTTACTAAAATAATTTAATTTCCATGTTCTGTGTACTATGGGAGACCAGATATAGTGAAGGCATGGTCCTGGGTTTAGTAACACCTTAACATTTATATTAAGCAGTTTGCCTGGAGTTCAGCTTTAAAGAAGATGCATGTGTGGTACAGGTTTTGCTATAAAAATGCGTTTTTCTTTGTGATCTGTACATAGGGCCACGATCAAACTTCCACGCTTTCAGTTGAAATGACCCTACCAAACCACCATCCTTTCCACCGAGATCTTCTACGATATGCCAAACTGATGGAGTGGCTGAAAAACACTGAATATGCTAGATATGAAGGACTTATGAAGGTTCGTATTTTACTTTTTTATGTAATCCTTCGCATGTTGAGACCCTCTAGGTCAATTATATACAAATATTGAGAATTTTAGCAAACGTCATTGTAGATTTTGCCTGCTGCTGTTTTGTTAAAATTTACAATTGGATTTCAAACACTTTCTACCTCCTAAAAGCTAAGTGGGAATATCTAGTGGCTACAACCACATGGTCAGTCTGTGTAATAAAAATCAGCAGTGAGTTACATGAGCAGAAAATTGTGTTTTCAGGAGCCAATTTATATAGAAAATACAAGTGTTGGTATGGTCACAAGGAAGCAGTGTTTTGAATTTTGGGCAGTTTTAAAAAAAAATCAAGTGGCTACTGATTAAACGTGGTGCATTTAAAAAAAAAAAAACACTGACAGAATTACAGAATGTTCCATGCGAAGCAATTAGATATGCTTTATCAATGTGTTTCCACAATAGGAAGTTTGGCTTTAGGTGATGTGAAGTTGCTTCAATGAGCATTCTTGGGTACTTTTGCTCTAACAAGGCGATACCACCAGTAGGTAATCAAATATCAAGTAACCTCCAGTAGAATTATGGAAAATTCTGAAAAATCAATTCCTCAGAGCTTTTCGATCTTTAATTAATTAATTTCAATTGACAGCTCTTAAAGTTTTGCCCAGACCTGCTACTTGAATGGAATCCAAGGGTGTATTAAACAGGTTTTTGTTCCTTTTTATATTCCCTTGTTTGAGAAACAACTTCAATCCTGGTCATTCAAAATTTCTTGTCACTGTAGTTGAAAACAATTGTCAGCTTGACCCCACTAACCATCTGGAAATCTAATGAATGTTTTCAAATAAAATCCTACTAATGTATGACCACCTTAAATGATAAATTCACCTTTTATAAAAAAAAATAATAATTAATGAATATCTTTTTGCAGGTAAAAAAATGCGTGTTTATTATTTTTTTTAATCTGCAGCCTGTAAAGCATTGCATCGGTGATCAGCAGATTGTGGGTGCAATGCCAGAATCATGCAGAAACTCAATAGAGCTGTCTACCCATACCTTGTACGGGCAGACAATTACTGAATTGTGGGAAGAATAAATAAACTACAAGGTGGCAGCTGACCATAGTTGTAGTTCATTTATTCATAGAACTGTGAATGAATGATGCAACTGTGTAAGAGGAGCCCCACACAGCCACAATGGTTTTAAATTGTGACACCTTGTGTGGGGAGAAGATCCTCCGCCCGCTGTCACAGGGACAGGGGGTCGGGGAGAGCATACAGGAGCTGGAAAATGTTACATTTTCTACATTAAATTCAGAGACAACATGTATTGTTCCAAAAGTAAACTTCTCCTTTAAGTTCAAGACTGGAAGTTCAGGTTATTACAAATACCCGTTGGTGAATAGTTCTCTTTAGCGGTATGCAGAAGAGATGGGGATGATAGTTAAAACTCCATTCAAACACTAGAATAAAGACTTTCATTTATTGACCTAAGCAGACTCGTGGGTAACTTGATAAGGCATTCTGTAACTTTTACAGCACATTTAAAATCAGGAAGTGTGATAATCGAGATGTGGTGAAGCATGTATCCATGCCAGATTTCATATTATTAATCAATAATCTACTTCCCCTCTGCTTTTACCAGGGAATCTTACTCAATACAAGCCATTATTGATTAAACACAGTTTATTGCTGGAAGCAAAATGTATCATTAAACCTAATTAATGAATGGCCTTTCTTAAAGGGCGCTTGTTGACATATGACCATGCCTATTTTTATATCGTATTTAAAGAAGATGAGCAATAATTCTCTGAATTCCGAGCTCTCATTAAAATATAATTGTATACAGATCCATTAGCATTTCGTTTTATTCAGGTTTCCAAATTCTGTTGGTTTCCATGGTAATGTAACAGACGAGAGCACATACACACAGTAGAGTCAACAGCAATCAATTCCAAAGTTCCAACCACACTGACTGGCTATTCACATAGGAATAATCGGCAGGGAGTGCCTGGTCATGATAGTTTGGCTGAAATCAGGGTGTGGATCATCTTGGGTCTAGGGTTCCTAGGATTTCTTGAATTGTATCTCTTTACATGGGAAACATTTATTTTGTTTTTAAGTCCAGTTTGTTTAGGAAAACTGCTATTTAATAGAACAATCCCCTATTAGGCTTCTGCTAATGTGGTGTTTAAAATGCACTTTCGTAGCTTGGAGCAGGGTTCTCGACCTTTTTTTCAGTCACAGCAAGTACCTTGTTTTTTTTTGGGGGGACCTTCATTTGGTGGAGAATATTAGGTAGCCCTGATATTTTTTTTCTGTTTTTTTTTTATCATCAAAAGAAAATTGTCCCAAATAGCAAAATATCAGTGTTTTTAAACGTTTGCTGTATATTTTACTGTTTAACCCACCATCAAAAAAGCCTGAAATAAATGACAGACCTGCATGAGTATATCACATACATTATGACTGCATTATTTGTTGTTTGTACCCATATTAGAGCCAAGAAACAATAGTGCGAATGTTGCTGAGGTTTTTTTTTTTTAACCCACATAAACACACTAACCCCAAATATAAAACTCGTTGGCACTGGCCCAGACTTTTTCTCTAGTGAGGAGAAGAACTTACAGTTTATCATACAAAAGCGGGTTCTAACACTAGTGTCACAATGGATGCCTATAACGTGATCATGTGATTAGGTGTTGGTCTTACCAGATTTGATTGTCACTCTAGACCAGAAGCTACCAGTGACAACATGATCTCTGTGGGATGCCGTTGTTTGAGGGCACTTCCGTTAAAACCAGCAGGCACTCCAGGGAGCTGTGGCACCCCAGATGAGAAAGGCTAGCTTATATTACTCCTCAATTGTTCAAGCTGGGCCTTGATTTCACTTATATTTCCAATCAGGAGATATGTTTGCTTCCTGCTTATCAAAACAAAGCAGAACAGTGTTGATTGCCCCAGCCTGTAAGTGCATGCTTCAAGTAGTTGTAAACCTCAGTGATGCTAAAAACATTTTTGAATACTTAAATTTACGCCTTCAACGTATCCATGTTGAAAACGTGTCTGTTTAGCCAATTTTTAGGTTTACAAACCCTCTCAGTTTAGGCAATGTTTTTGTCCTTTGTGGGAGTGGCTTCCACAGCAAGTAAGAAGTCTGAAGCAAATTGGCTTTACGGTCAAAATAAAGAAGTTTGTCAAAACTGAAAGGAAATTATGATGAAGACTTAATGAATGTGTGTGTTCTTTTGTTTGTAGAACTACATTGATTATATTGTGCGGTTATATGACCGAGAGATCAGGGATTTCTTCGAGGTGGCTAAAAACAAGATGACTGGTGCCACCAAAGAAGGAAAGAAGTTTGGTAAGCTAAATGAGTAAATACGCTTTATGGAAGTGTTTGTTACATAATAATATATGTAATACATGTTTTCTGTCTTCTGGAATTTCTTTTGAAGAGACGATCTCTGTAGCTGTGGAGTAAATTGCCTTATGTGACAGACCTAAAAATCTGTTTTTTGTTGTATGATTTTATAATCCCTGTTTTTTCAGAAGCCTATTGTTTGAATAAAACATATAGTGTGCTGGAAAATAAGACCTTTGCTCTACATATGGGACTTTTCAAATAACCTAAATCTTTTATCTCTGGAAGTGTGATGCATTCTTTCTTCACAGCACTGGACCTCCTGTAATACCCGGCACATAAACACTAAAGCTGGCCATTTTCTTACAAAGAGAAAACAAATTCCATTATCCATGTCAAACTGTGTGAATGGATCAATCTTGTGGCTCTTGTATATTGACATCCAGCCCTAGCAGCTGTCAAAATATCTTAACAGGGGCTGTATCAGTGGCTGGATACAGCAGTTTGACCAACACGTTTCCACCTGATACATTCAGTTTTTCAGTCAAGGGATGTCAGCTGGGTAGGGGTCAACAAGGTCATCCGTTAACGAATTTCGATCAGTCCAACAGGAACCAGACAAAATTTGCTCTGTGTGTGGCCAGCTTTAGAATGGAGGAGAGAAGAACAGCACTGTGAGCCAATCTGTGATCCTCTGCTTTTAGTCAATAGAATACAATTATATAAGGAAGGAAGAAGGATTGCCCATATTGGTGCACTGCTTCTCTTTCTGTCCAGTTACAGGCCATGATCAGTTTGGTGACCAAGCGATTTTGCTAAACTATGAAGCAAAAAAGTGAGGTCACCTGGTCATTGTGCTTTCTGGCAGGATTGCTTTAGGTTGGATGGACAGAAATAAAAACCCATTGTAGGTTCAACAATGTATATGTATATATTATAATTGTACATTTAGACTTTTTGCATAGGTTCAGCAATAAAAATCCAAACTCAAGCCAAAATTTTTTTCTGGGTTAAAGTGTGAAAATGTTAAAGCGTCTATCAGCTGCCTGTGTCCCTATCTGGGGAAAAAGTCCCTCACTTCCTGCCCGTTGTGAAACAATGTGACAGGGATAGGAATTATTAGCTAAAATCTATGAAATGTGAGTGACAGTAACAACAAAGGGTTCTTTGTATTAGAAGAGCTGGAAATTGTTACGTCCACTATCAGGCTTTTGATGGCTTTATGTCCCAGAGACACCTGTTCTCCTAATTTCTTCTAGTGTCACTTGGACAGAAAGTACAGCGAAGTCTCCCAATTTAGATCACAGACAGGAATACAAACCTGAAAGAGGAGATTCTCAATGCAGCTAGCAAATAAAAAAAAAAATAATATACCATCTACAATTGCTACACAAGTCATGTTGTAAATTAATCTTGTTAATAATTACATTTCTCTTTCAATCTGCAGTGTTGCAATTTTCTATAAAAATTCAATGCAATATGGCAACCTGGAGGCATTCTGTACACAGATGGTGTACAGGACGCCCACCAGAAATGTAATTTCTTTCTTGTGTGATTGGCTTACTGATGTTCCCAGAAGTCTGCACTAAGATACAGATTTTGGCCATCTCAAAAAGAAATTATATCTAAAGGGATTCAGACCCTTCCACTTACCTCAGTAGAACCCTGCAAGTGCAGCAGCTGATTGATAATTATACAGTCACTCTCATTCGCATTCACTTTGTACATGGACAGAAACAAACAGCTATTTCTTCAGAATAACAAAAGGTAGGAATTTGCAACAAAGTTTGTTCAAATCCTTGCAATGTACATAGATTACCCAGAAGGTAATGTTTTTTTTTCTCAACAAAAGTGTAGTTACTCTTTAAAGTTTTCTGTTAAATTACAGGTGTCTAATAAACTAATATGTATACACCTGTACTCCTATCTATACCTGTGGAATACCTGCATCATTAGTTTCCACCTATGAAACCGTTGCATAGCTTGTTTCATGTAGAAAGATAGATATGTTAGATGGAGGGAAACTATCAATGTAGATCTCTTGGGCTATCTAATTACTACATGCAGCAATGCTGTGGCCTCTGCTAAATATGAACAAGATGTATTCAGATAGACCATCTCTGAATACAATTCCCTCTAAAATTTGGTGCTTTCCAGCTATTATGTAGCCCTTGCACAGCTTACATGTGGGATATATTTGAATTCTGCTCTATCAGTTTGTCATAGAGTGCTCTATGATGCTTGCACTTCATTGCTTGTGTGAAGAGTCATGCTTGCTGATGGTTGGAGGTGTGTAGCTTGGCATGCCTGGTTTTGTGGTGGCCTTGTTATATGTTACATGGTATCAGCTGTCTTCACACTACACGTTTTTCTCCTTTTAATGCAGATAATGTTGGTTCAACAAGAATAATCAATAAAAACGGTAAAGGAGAAGGCAAAAACATTATTGTTTACTAAGTGTATGAAATACCCCCTGATGTTCACCTCCTAAGTCAGAAAATCCTTGTCTTCTTGTGAAATAATCTTGTCTTGTTTCTTACTTAACTTCATATTTACCCACAAGAATCTCCAAAAAAACAGTCAATGGGGCTTCTTCTTTAGAAGAAGACAGTGTGCTGGCACTGGCAATCAAATACATTTTATAACTTTTATTCAGCTATAGATTTTAAAAAAAAAAAAAGAAGAATTGAGTTGTTGTGCATAACACACTTTCCCATTTTTATATAGGTTATTATTGAGGGTCATATTTGTTATTTTTACCAGTAGTCCAAGTATAAAAGTCCATTAAATGAACATTGACCATGTTTACACAGTATAACAAAAAGCAAGTTACCCATGAATGAATTTGCATTGGTCCTTTAAACAGGCATTTAGGCGTAGTTCATTTCCCTGTCTTTGCTAGTGCCTTTTTCATGCCTGAAATATACATAACTCCATCATCCCTTACATCATACATAAGACTGAAGTTCTAATACAGCTTATGACTGTGTGTGTGTTTTTACATGATTGTAATATGTCAGATTGTCCATGTAACTGTTTACAGCTTAAGATAACCGTAACTGCATAATATAGCCTTCTGCATGTCTTTCTTACTAGTGCCTAACTTGCTTCTCTTGTGCACGGTCTTTGCTAAATGCCTGTTTTCTAATGCATCTTTGTCTTTGATGCTTGCAACTTAATTCATCCCAGCTACGCTGCCTCGAAAAGAGAGTGCCGTGAAACAGGAGACAGAAAGTGAGTATGAGCTGGTCACCTTCAACCAGCAATCCCTACTTGATGCATTTTTGATCTGAGGATAATATATAATGATCTTTGTGGGCTCTGCTTGGACAGACTGTTACAGCCCTGTTGGCCATAGGTGAACAGATTTTTCTGCTAAAATAAGATTAAGCATTGGCAGTCTAAAATGAGATTAAGCATTGGCAGTCTAAAATGAGATTAAGCATTGGCAGTCTTTTTGTTAGTGAGTTATGAACCATTTAAGGCAAAAGTAAAAGCAAAATTTCAAGTGACCTCTGGAAATGGTAATACTGAGAGGTTCCCCTCGTCAAACAGTTCCTGGGGTTTATCATAACTAGGAACTATAATAAGCAGACTACTAAAATTTGGTTTTGTGGCATAGCCATAAAATGGGGTGATTCTCTATAGGACATAATGTATTTTACCTTAAAAACAGTACAAACAGTTGCCAAGAAGTCCTGCTGCCAATAATAATGAGGTTGTGGTAGGTAGACATAACTCGTCCATACTACAGGAAGAACAAGCAGAAAGTAGAAGAACAAAGAAAATTTAGTTTGGGGTTCTCCAGTACCCCTAAACTATACTGTCGTCAGGTTGGTGTGCTGGTTTAGCAAAAATTGTGCAATGCTTCTAAGACCTAATGGGTAGCATATTTAACTACAGGCTTCCTTTTAGAAAATAACTTTGCGAACCACAGATTCTCTTGATGTTTGGTTTGCCTGAATGCAGATCAGTCTGGTGTGCAGAGAATCATGCATATCCTGATTCTGGTGATTTGAGAGTCAGTTTGCTCACCCCAGTGTGCCTTTTAAATTATTGTGCACTCAGAAGTATTTTCTGTTTTTGGAGAGGTTTATCTAGACAGACATTTAGTAGCTAAAAAAATATGTTCTCATAGAATAGAGACAGTAAACTGAGCTGGGCAAACTGCATTGTCTGTATAAGAATGCATTTGGAAAACTGATAAATATTGGAGCCTGTCATCATGGGTGCAGTATCTGTCCAACTAAAGCCAGCACTGTTTTTTAGTATTTTGAAGTTATAAGTATGCTTTAATTGCATGGTGTTGACTTATGAATTCTCGTTAAATCCTATGCATGAACACTAAAAAGTGCTAGAAGGGATCTTCAAAGTAAAAAAAAAAATGTTTCTATTTTAATTTGAGAGATGAACCTGCCTACCTAATGGGACAGAGGGTAGAGAACAAGTCAAACCCTACCTCAGGTCCTCTGTGTTTCCTGTACTGTGGGATTGTACTGGAGGGTCATTTTCTGTTTCATCACACACAGAAGCATCAGTTTAGAAGGATTATTGTAGGCTTACCTTTCTTGTGTGAGGTGTGACCGTTTAATTCCCGGAATGGACTGGTAATAACCCTATCAAACGTCTGCATTCTTCAAAAGATAAGATGAAATTTGAAGCCGACGTTCTTTCTGATCTTCTGTCATGAATAGAGGTGCCATCTTTGTGGGAATTCCTCTCATTGCCAAATATTACATTAGTATCGATCTCACTGTTTCACTCTTCATGCTCAATTTATCTAGCATCATTCGCACACTCAATCGTTGATCTGATCGTAGGAGGGTTCACACTCTGTCCACATTTGCATCCATCCTTTGCATTTTTGACTGGTCACTTCTTCTTCCATCATCTTGGAAATCTTCCCTCCCCTCAATAAACCAGTTTGCCATTCAAAAACACTCGATTCTTCATGGAAAGTTCATCATAAGCCTGCTGTAACAGAGATAAAGTTCCACACTTTTGCCAATTTTTACTCAAAATTTGATGTTGATCCCTTGCTCCAGATTCCTGTCGCTCATTTTCCACCAATAGCGCAACGCACACAAGCCAACTGATCTGTGACCCAGGCGAGTACTATTTAGGACATGTTGGAACACGTTCTTATGCAAATGGCTGTGTAACTCACCACCATAGTGTTACGCCGCAGGCATTCTGGGAATTGTCACATTGCAGATTTTCAAGCAATAAGGGCAAGGTGGATTTCTATGGTGGTAGTGCTACTTTTAATAAACTTGCTTGAACAGTACTGGCCAAGGTGCATTATTGTCAGATAAATATTAAGGGTTGAAGATTCTAGTTGGACAGTATCCCTCAAAGGAAGGTGTTTCTCCTCACAGCTCTATTGCATCTTAGATCTCATTTGCACCTGAATGATTTGAAGGTCATTTGCCAAAATGCTTTAAAGCTCAACATCAATATTTCCATTCTGTTCATAGGTTGAAGCTTATTGCTTGAAGCTCAAAAAAAGTACATGAGCTTCTTTAAGGCGAGCAGCACATTTTTGGCTCCTGTATACTTAAATAGAAGCACCTAAAACGCCTGAAAATGCACATAACACATCTTTTGAACCATTTTTTTTGACTCGCCTCCGCTTGGTAACAAGCTGTCCATTGACTAGTTAAAACTACTTTAAAGCACTTCACTTCCAGTATGTTGTTGTCTCTGCTGCTGGGAGCATGGCTGGAGGGGAGTCTGGTCTATTTCTGAATGCCGTGATAAAAAAGATCTAATTTAGGTCTAGGGTCTAACTAAACCCAGTGGCGGAACTACCAGGGTTGCAAAGGCTGCACTTGTGACCCCAGGCCCTGGTGTTCCACCACTGTTGGAGGGGCCCTCTGTCTGAAGGCTCACCTCTAATTATGCTCATGTACACTGTAAACTCAAAGTCACTGCCATAGTAATCGCACAGTGCCACTCACCCAGCCACTCTCTGCGGCTGCCCATTGATTCACAGCTGCAGGCAGGTTGGGCATGGGGCGGAAGCTTGAGGAGACCCTATCTTGTGATATCAGGATAGGTGTCACAGGAGGCATGTGCAGGGAGCCAGAGAGACTAGGAGAGGGAACCAATTCAACCAGTTAGTGCCACTGATGACTGATCCCATCTCCACCGAGCACTGCCACAGAACCCAATCCCCCTGCCACCACTGCAACTGATTCCATCCCCCAGCCTCAAGGACTGCCACTGACCCTATCCGCCCACCAACACGGTCACTCATCTCATCAACCCCCCCAGCACTGCCACTGATCTGATTCTCCCCCTTCTCCCAGAACACTGCCACTCATCCCATTCCTCCCCACCAGCACTGCCACTCATCCCATTCCTCCCCACCAGCACTGCCACTCATCCCATTCCTCCCCACCAGCACTGCCACCCATCCCATTCCTCCCCACCAGTATTACCACTCATCCCATTCCTCCCTACCGGCACTGCCACTTATTATTTATTACATCGAGTTTATATAGCGCCAAAGGATTTGCTCAGCGCTGTACAATAGGGGGGACAATACATGGCACAGTACAACAAAAACAGACAGCGTACAAGGGGTAAGAGGGCCCTACTCTTTCAAGTTTACAATCTAGGAGGGAGGGCCACTTAGCCCACTCCTCCTCACCAGCACTGCAACTTATCCCATTCCTCCCCACCAGCACTGCCACTGATCCCATCCCCACACCACTGCCACTGATCGCATCCCCTCCCCTCACCAGCACTGCCACTCTTTCCACTCCCCCACCCATCCCCCCCAGGACACTGCCACTCATCCCATTCCTCCCTATCAGAAATGCCACTCATCCCATTCCTCCCCACCAGTACTGCCACTTATTCCATTCCCATAGCACTGCCACTTATCCCATCCCCTCAACAGCACTGCCACTTATTCTGTCGTTCCCCCCCCCATCACTGCCACTCATCCCATGAAACCCCCCCCATCACTGCCACTGATCACATCCCCCTTCCCCCACTGCTATTGATCCCATCAACCCCCAAGCACTGCCACTAATCCCATTCCCACCACCACTGCCACTGATCACACCCTCACCAGCACTGTCACTGATCCGATTTCCCCCCTCCCCAGCACTGCCACTGATTCCAACAACCTCCCAGCACTGCCATTGATCCTGTCTCCTCCAACGGGTCTCATAAAAAATAATACTGTAAATTAAATGGTAAAAATAAAAAACTACTAATACCAGTGGCAGAACTACCAAGGTAGCACTTGCAACTGGACCCTGGCGTTCTGACACTGGGCTTGGAGGGATGTGTCCCAGCCGGGGGGCCCTTCATGGATTTTTGCACTGGGGCCCTGAAGGTTCTATTTATGCCTTTGACTATACCCATCAGGCTAGGTTCACGGTGATGTAGTTTGATTTTGATCCGATTTTTCATTGCGATTTTCAAGTGCAGTTGCAGTGCACCTTGATACGATTCTGATAAAATATTGACATGATTTGGATCCAGCTGTGATTTCTGTGCTGGGGAAGAAAACCTGCTGCAATTTGAAAGCATTTTGAAAGTGTTTCCATTGAAGTCTCTGGACCATAGAATCTTGATTCCCATCTGAAATTGCATTGGTGTGAACCAGGGCTACATCTATCTACAGTTATGGTTTTGCTTAGTTGGCTTTTTGCAAGACTGCAGTAGGTGTATGGATAGTCAGGTAAGAAGGATCATCTCTCGGGTTAAGGATGACATCATAAAGGTTTTCAGGAACTGGAATTACCGGTAAATCTAATTTAAAATTCTTTTGTAGGGAACAAAATTAGAAGAAAAATATATTGGAGTTGATTTATTAAAGGCAAATAATCTGTGGACTGCAAGTGCAGTTGCTCTAAATCTGAGGGGAAGCTCTGCTGATTTCTATCATCATATAAATAATAAAATTGTGAGCTGGTGCCTTTTAATGTGGTGCCTTCATCCCCCATTTTGCATTGACAAAGAACAGGAACTTATTTGATTGACTTTAAATGAGGTACAACATTTGCATAAAAAGATTTATTGTACAATAGATGAAAATTTTTTACATAAATTAATCAATTTTAAAATGGTAATCTGATTTGAAAAACACTACCGTATATGGTATACAATCTGTATGATATTCACATAAATAATACATGTATAAATTCAAGTATTTGACAAAACAATAATGGGTACGTCCTTTGGCCCAACACATTTCATGACAATAACTCCAGTGCTTCAGGAGTGGACTCCCAATATAAAAGTTTGTAAGCCTAGAAAACAGTATCATAGAGTGTGTTCACAAAGTCCCCTAAAAACAGGGGGAGGGTAGAGATGGTACAGTATTTATGCATATAAATGTCCATTGTTTTCTATCATTCAATCTTGTGCAAGCAAAAGTGCTGTTTTTTTTTTTTTTCCTTGCATGTAATTGGGTATTCTTTGCAAAGTAAACCTTTACCTCATTTACTACACCCTGGAGCAGGTGTCTCCAAACTTTTTAAACAAAGGGCCAGTTTACTGTCCATAAAGCTTTTGGGGGGCCAGATCATGGTCACTTGGAGTAGAAAATATCCTGGCATCCATGAGAGTAAACCGTGAACCATCTGTAGTATCAGGTGGAGGAGTATTTGGTGTTAGTAAGGGGAATAGTTCTGCATCCTTGGTGTCAGTGGAAGGAATAGTGCCCCTTTGTTGGTGTTAGTGGCAAAAATTATTCCCCACTGTAGGTGCCAGTGGGAGGGATATTGCCCCAAAGGCTGAATAAAGGCAAGCAAAGGGCCGCATCCCGTCCCAGGGCCACAGTTTGGAGACCACTGCCCTGGAGAAACTGCACTTTCAGTGCAAAGTATATTTGCCTTTAGTAAATTAACCCGATTTGTTTCTTGGTCAGTTTTTCCTGATGCTTTTTTTATATTTGTATCAAATATTCATTTTACAAATGAACATTTATACAGAGTGAATGCATGACACATGGCTTGAAAAGCACTCTAGGCTTGCTAGCACGAAAACCTAGCACTACATACTCTACATATATGAATGCACCCAGTGTTTAGCCAAGTAATATGGACAAGTGCAGCTTGGCCTAACTCTTTTAGGAGAAAGAAGGTTGAGGGATTTGACCTCCTGGGTGAATAACAAAAAAAAATGTCCAAGAAAGTATATGTTAACAAAATTGCAGTTTTCTTTTTTTGCAAAATCTTTTTGTACAGAAGATAAAGAATTTGAATGTAACTGGTCAAAAATGAAATGAGGATTTGCCATCCAGCTCTCACATTTCCGTAATACTTTTAGAGATCACGTCAGTGGGTTTATTGTCATGATATAGAATAGATGATCCCTAGTGTTTGTGTTTTTGTTTTTTTTATAGTGCAGAGAGATACCTATATATATATATATATATATATATATATATATATATATATATATATATATATATATATATATATAAAATTTTCTTCTTCCAATTTTCAAATAATATTTCCCAGTTTTTTCCTAAAAGGCTATTTTTTTTTAACTGGTGATAGTTGTCAGGTTTTATGAAGTGATAGAAGCCAAACTCCAAAGTGTTGTTGACAAAATCTACTCTTGCAGTGGGCCCCCCTTGCACTGTAATGGTTAAATATTCATTTTTACTAAAATTGTTGCACTCAGAATCTGGTGCAGCTGTGCATGGTAGCCAATCAGCTTCCAACTTCAGCTTTTTCAAGTACGCTTTGACAATAAAACCTGGAAGCTGATTGCTTTCCATGCACAGCTGCACCAGGTTTTGCACTCTCCGGTAACTTAACCCCCATTATGTCTGGGGGTAGAGAAACAGGCTGTATTACTTACCATGTCTCCCTGCTCCAGCAGACTTTGGTGCTGTACTCCTCTCCCTGGTGTTCTGGTTTGTGTGCTGTTTCTTCAGCCTCATCACATACAGTGTAGGACTATTAACCTTGAAATTTAAATAGAAGAGGTAGATGTGCAACCACGACAGAGAGTACCTTTGAGGGGTGGCTTTGTGGGACTAGTCACACTAGTGGAGGGAACCTACTGGAACAAGGAATAAGGCTGGCCATACATTATACAATTATCTTCCAATTTTCTGCCCAATTTCCTTTGGATTTACCTTCAACTGTGTAGTGCAAGGGCCTGCCTATTTGGATACAACTGAAAGTGTTGTTTAGGTTTGTCCTCCTATTATATGATTTTTGGTAAATCTAAACCAAAAATCTCCAGATAATTGTATAATGTATGGCCAGCCTTAGGCAAGTATTATACCTTATTCATGCACCTCTAGACATAACAAGATTTAACCCTTGCAGTGCAGGTGTCCCACTGCTAGGGTACTTTTTTGCCTTGATTTGGGCTTTAAAAAGAGTGAAAAACAATCAGCTGTTTGTGATGGTAAATAAATAACTACACCCACAGGCCCATATTATTGTTTTCTTGGAGAGTGTGGGGATAGCAACACACATTTTCCTAAGACCCAAGCTGTATATACCTTCTTAGATATTACTGAGCAGTTTCAGGCCCTTAGCTTGCAAACTCCAACTACAAAATAGCTTGCAAATTGCAGTCCTCTTTAGGGACACCCCACTAATTGATGTTTAAGATATGAAAACAAAGAACTTTTATAAGGGTCAATTCACCAATGCTTAATGTATGTGGTATTTTCTTATGTGTACTTATTAATTTTTCTTAACTGAAAAAAGATCTTTTCAGTTCGCTAAAGGTTTGATCTCAGAGATCAGCCAAGATTTCCTGCATTCTTCTCTATGCTGGCTTTGTGATGCTGAGATTTGTGAGGTCGCCATTATGAAGACCAATTATTCCAGAGGGAAAAGAGGCACAACAAAGCATAGTTGTGTGTTGGAGTATGCAGCACCCTAGGAGCTGTATTCTCTACAGGTCAGTTAAGATTTGACAGGTTCTCCCTGAGTTCTCTAATAATAAAAACAATAATAGTAGAATAATAGCTATGTCTTTCCAGGGCAGGCTTACAAATAAAAATAAAATTACTTACTGTGCCACCAGAGCTTTAATTACATTTAGGAAAGTCAGGACAGGGGAGGTTAGTTGGTCAGTATAGCCAGCAGTACAGATGATCATGATATGTAGATCTGAATTATACAACTTGTATTTTTGTGATGGAATCTAGGTCTTCATGGGAGCTCTGGAAAATTGACGGGATCCACATCCAGTCTGAATAAGTTGTCAGTCCAGAGTTCAGGAAGTCGCAGGTCTCAGTCATCTTCATTACTGGATATGGGCAACATGTCTGCCTCTGATTTGGATGTCGCTGACCGCACCAAGTTTGATAAGGTATTTTCAGGTTATCCTTTTAGGCTGTTTGCAGTGCTATTTTGTGTTATTTGGTTTTATACAAGAGTGACTAAAACAAACGTGTTTGTTCTAATTATGTCATAAAGTGTATTTAAACCCAGAAACATGTAAAAGTGTGCTATATCGCAGCTTACTAGTCCTTGTTCCAATAATTTTTAATAGTTTTATTTAAAAAAGATTTTACAGAAAAGGTACAAACAAATATGGCATCCACTTCTTGCTTAACTGTGGCCAGTCAGAATAGGTTACAAGTAGGTTGCAAGAAACAACAAGCAGTCTGAGATACAAATCTGTTATTTAAGAAAATGACAAAACTAGGTCCCCCTATGAGACTTGGGGACATCAAATACTCTACTGTTGTGATCTTCCAAAAAAAAAAGGATTTTTATCAAGACAGGTCATATAATCAACTACGGCCTGTATGGCCCTGTGGATTCCCACCAACAGTCTAGTGTTTAGAAAATGTAGATAGGACCTGCCCAATTCCTTACTCAGTACTTGGGGAAATCCAAAAATTCTTATTGTTGCAGAGGGAGGAAGCTAAGGTCAAAAGAATCAGATCAACGTAACAAAATGAGTTTGTAAAGTCTGGTGTAGAAATGCAAAAAAGCTTTCATGATCCTTTCTTTAGTAGTTTGGAGGATGTAATTAGCATAATAGATTCTAGGAATGGTGAAGGTTGTGTTCTGTTTTTTTTCTCCATAATACATTTTTATTGAATGAAAATGGCAAGTGCTTACAAGGTGGTCCACAGACATTTAAAATACAGATCAACATCCAATCTAGTACCATAGCATGAGTAATTGTACACAATGTAGGCACAATATTTAATCAGAAGAACATCTGTGGTGTTAAGACCCCAAAGGGGTACAAGCATATGTTCTGGTTTATCTCAAAAGGCAAGGAAGGAAACTGTATTTATCCCCAGATTCAGAAATATGCTATGCCTGACAACGGAGTTAATGTCGGCCATTGCTTTCTCCTGAGTTAGGTCTACATTATCATGCATACTCTTTCCTTACCAGGCCATTTTTCAGTTTTCAGTACTCTGACAGCTTGACTGAAAATTATAATTTGATTTAAAGGTTTTTGAGACCAATAGAGCTTTTATTTGGTGTATTTAATAACTGATTTTTATTTTCATTTTATTACTGTATAAAGGAGAAAAGGATAATAATTTTGAAAACAAAACCTGCCTATTTTATTTCTTAAGACCCTAAAATGCTGTCAGTTAATTTGTTTAGGGCATAGCATATACTGTGCAGGAGTCAAGACAGGAGTTGCAGATATCAGTGGTCAGGAGTTAGTGCCCCCATATTGCTGGTCAGTGGTGAATGCTCCTTTAAAGTTGGTAGATAATGGTGTGCAGCCTGCCAGATTAGGACCGATTAGAATCTGGAGTGATATCCCCATCATTCGGTATTGGTTCCCTGCCAAGTATTGTTAATCTGTAATGAGTGCCCCATAACTGTTGGTGGTCAATATGGCCTGTGTGTACCCCCTCTTCCTTGCTGCTTGGTGTACCCTACTTTTCTATTCTGTGTGCTTCTCTTTAGTTTGTGGTCAGTGGATGTAGTATTGTTTACATTAGAAAAGTAGGAAGGCAGGAGATCCCAGAGAATTAGTGGGGGGGGGGGGCTCTTGTAAACACAAGCATTGTTTACATCTGTGATCACTGTGATTGGCAATCATCACAAGGCATAGAGCCACTCTGATTAACTTTGTGCATTTTGCCTGGGATCTAATGTAGTTAATGACTGTTGATCACAGGCATTAATTGGGCACACTGGTCACATGTCTGTTTTCTGCGGTGCAGTTTATAAACGGCTGTCCAGAAAAAAAGCAGCCGCTATTGTCTCTCTCTAAGTTCTAGTTCCAGGGAAGACAGGTCATATTCCTATCATGGAAGAATTATCTCTGCTTTTGCAGTAGCAGCCTTTAATTGACTGTACGTATATATGTGTATAGCCACCATTAAAGTGTGTGTGGGTATTTTCTGCCTTTGTGTTTTAATTATTACCTTTTGTGTTTTATGTTATTGTCTGTCATAGTTTAAAATGCTTAAATATGCCTAATGAGGTCTACACAGTCAATCTATCCTGTATTTTCTCAGATATTTGAACAGGTCTTAAGTGAACTGGAGCCGCTTTGTCTGGCAGAACAAGACTTCATCAGTAAATTCTTCAATCTATCTCAGCATCAGAGCATGTCTCGGACATCTATGGTAAGGTGCACTGTTTATTTATTAATGGTAGTTGTGTTAGTTTTATTACCATTTCTGTCTAGTTTATTGTTTTCAAGCCAGGCAATAAAAAGCTACAGAGTGCAAAAAGAAAAAAAATAGAGGAGGAAGCAAAATTATATGCCTTATTGAAGCCAGAGGTTAAATAAGTCTCAATGGGAAGATTATATGGCCATTTAACCACTTCATTACCAAGCACTTTTACCCCCTTCCTGCCCAGGCCAATTTTCAGCTTTCAGCGCTGCTGCACTTTGAATAACAATTACACGGTCATGCAACATTGTACCCATATGAAAATTTTAGCATTTTTCTTCACACAAATAGAGCTTTTTTTTGGTGGTATTTAATCACCAGAGAGTTTTTTTTTTTTTTGATAAAACAAAAAACACCTGAAACTTTTGGGAAAAAAACACACTTTTCTTCGCTTCTGTTATGAAATTTTGCAAATAAATAACATTTCTTCATAAATTTAGGTCAAAATGTATTCTGCTACATTTCTTTGGTGAAAATAATAATAATAATTGAATTGTTTTTTTTTTTTTTTTTTTTTTCAAATCTTTCTATTTTTTTTTTTAATTTTTTATTTTTTTTTTACTATTTTATTTTTCAGCACACTGTGACCAAAGCAATACAATGTTACCATAGTAACATTGGACTACTTTGGGCAAGTAATCAGGGTTTTTTAACACATTATGATTGCTTATACCAATGTATTTCATTGATATTTGCAATCGTTGTTACTGAATGAAATTGATTCATTCAGTCTTTTGTTGTGATTAGCTGTGATTGGGCAACGCTGATCACATGATACAGATGGGCTCTGATTTGCCCTGTCTGTATCATGTGACTGTCTTGACCAGTCACAGCTAACAACATAATTATATACAATGGATGGGATGACAGGAAGCCATCCATTGTATACAATTCACTTGTTATCTGCTGTGATTGGTCACAGCGGTCACATGACACTGGTAATGCCGGTGTAGTCATATGTCATCAGCTGTGTCCCGTGGACACAGTCGGTGGCAGATCGCGCCGCTCCGCGGCCGCATGAGCGACTCGTTTTGACAGGATGTTATATGGCGCCCAGTCACAACGAGGAGTGTCCTGCCCGGCCATCAATCTGCTGTAGGCTGGCCAGGAAGGTGTTAGTGTATTTTATGCATGTTACCTGTAAAAGTGTCCTTGGTTTAAACATCCAGAAGCCTTGAGACTGAAACTGGGCACCGCCATCTTGAATGTGATGTCAATAGCCCCAGCACATTTAGTGCTACCACTTAAGTGGCACTCTATAGAATTCACTCCTTCCCAGGCAGCTACATAAAAGGTTGTGTATGGTTGTTAGGGGAGAGACAGGGATGCTGGGCCAGCACCGACAGTAACTAGGTATTCTAGGCACATGCAAGTGAATGAAAAAAAATTCTTATTTGGGGAAAAACACTACAAATGAGCATTTATAAAACTTGATTTTCTGTCTTTTTACCTGTAGTTTTTATTTAAGTTAGGGACAAGGTCTCTATGGAATTGACCCTAAAGAATGCTCTGGCCTTTATGTAAACCTGTTACTGACGAGACCACTCATTGAAACTACATATATTCTTTGTGGTAATGCGTTGATATGAACACACTGAATATTTAAGAATATCGTTGCTTACTTTCAAAGAGCCAATCCGTTTTCAAGACAGTCCTATCTTGGATAGATAACATGGCAGGCTGGAAATCGTATCTCCTGTAAAAGCTGAAATCTTCCTGCCCTACTTATTCTTTGACACACAGTTTATGTTTGTTACAGGTTATGCAATATGTCCCCCTGCTTGGAACAATACATATTTCAAAAAACTAAATGGGCTTTATTTGTGGGGTTGGGTGCTTTAAATTTTAAGTTTGGAAGATATACCACTTAATGGAAAATGGATACCTAAAACCATTCTAATTTGATACATACTGTATAATTTTATATATTCTATTGAAATGCCATTTGCCATCCATCTGCGAGAAAAATGTCCCACTGCTGCTTCTGCTTCCATGGTTGTTTATTCTGTACCCTTTGAGGGTACTGACATCTACAGTCTGGTTACCCTGTGGTTTTAGGGTCTACCTTATCTGAGTCCCTGTCAGCTTGGTCGGTCAGTCAGGGGTGGTCCCCATATCTCCCTGGGCTATCTCCAGACAGAACAAACTAGTTTTCTGTTGCAGGTATCCTTAGTTGAATACAGGGAATACCATAAGGACATCATGGGACGTGTCCACCTCTGGTTAGTTCCCTCTTCCTTGGCTACTCTGCAGATTTGTGAAAAGAGCCTTCCTGGCATTGTTTCCTAGTCTAAACACAGGTGAATGGTTTTTGTTGTCCTGACAAGATTCCTACCCCTTGTTCCACAGATGATGCTGCTTCATTGGATCTGAGGAGCATGGAGTATTCTTGGTCCTGTGACTCTTGAAGTCATGAATAGGCAATGTTGTATCTAGTCTCATCCTCAGCTCCATTAGGGTGTAACCTGTCTCACCCATTTTATGTTCTAACCTACTTGTGTTTCCAATGCATCTTACCCCTTCAGTCATGCTGACTTTGTGGGATCAATTCTGAGTTCTCTGCTGGACATGGGAGTCATTTTCACACCCTTCTGAAGTTGTAGTTTCTAGTGAATTTTACTGTTCTCCCTGATGAGTCTCACCTTGAGGTGATTAGAAAGACAGAAGCAAGAGTGATGGCAGGAAAAAGAGCAAGTGGTCCATTGAGTCTGCCCCGTTTTTCTTTATTTAAAAAAAAAAAAACATATATGTATATATATAAAATCTTGTAAAATAGGTACTGAACAAGTCACCATCTTTCTAGGTAAATGCTATTGACATGAAATTTACACCACATGTCGGTAACAACCCATGCAATCCATACATACAAAGAAACCAAAACAAATAAGTTCAGAAATTAAGTTGTGTAATAAAATGGAATGACACAGGGAAAAAGTATTGAACTTGCTAACTAAAATTTATTTAATAGGTCGTAAAAATCCTTTGTTGGTAATGACAGTTTCAAGATGCCTCCTGTATGGAGAAACTAGTCTCATGCATTGCTCAGGTGTGATTTTTGGCCCATTCTTCCACCCAAACAGTCTTCAAATCCTAAAGGCTCCGTGGGCCTCTTCTATAAATTCTGATCTTTAGTTTTTTCTTTAGATTTTCTATTGGATTCAAGTCAGGTGATTGGCTGGGCCAATTGAGAGTTTGCTTGGCTTTGTGTTTGGGATCATTATCTTGCTGAAATGTCCACTCTTGTTTCATCTTCATCATCCTGGTAAATGGCAGCAGATTTTTTATCAAGAATGTCTTTATATATTTTTTCATTCATCCTTCCTTTAATGAAATGGAGTTTCACTGTTGGTATTGTGTTTTTGGGGCGATGCACAGTGCCATTTGACCTCCCAAATGGTGTGTATTATGACATCTAAAGAGTTAAAGTTTGACCAGACTATATTCTCCCAGTATTTCACAGGCTTGTCTAAATGTTGTGCCGCAAACTTTTAAATGAGCTTTAACATGCTTTTTCTTCAGCAATAGAGTCCTGCGTGGTGAGTGTGCATACAGGTCACGGAGGCTGAGTGCATTACTTATTGTTTTCTTTGAACAATTGTGCCTCCTAATTCCAGGTCTTTCTGAAGCTGTCCAGAAGTGGTCCTTGGCTCTTGGACAACTCTTCTGATAATTATTTTCACTCCTTTGTCAGAAATCTTGCAAAGAGCACCTGGTCATGGCTGGTTTATGGTGAAATGATGTTCTTTTCACTTCCGGATTATGGCCCCAACAGTGCTCCCTGGGACATTCAGAAGTTTAGAAATCCTTCTGTAACCAATGCCATCAGAATATATTTTTCAACAATAAGTTTGCTAAGGTCTTGAGAGACCTTTTTGCTTTTACTTGTCATGAGATGTTTCTTTATGTGACACCTTTGTAATGAGACATCTTTTTATAGGCCGTCAGTTGATATTAATTTTGCACTGACAAGGGGCAGGACTGCTTTCTAATTACTATTAGATTTCAGCTGGTGTCCTGGCTTTCCATGCCTTTTTGCACCTCCCTTTAAATCATGTGTTCATTACTTTTTCCCTGTGTCATTCCATTTTTTAACACATAATTTTATTTCTGAACTTATTTGATTTGGTTTCTTTGTATGTATGAATTGCATGGTTTGTTACCGACGTGGTGGAAATTTCATCTCAATAGCACCTTTCAAAATATATTTACCTAGAAAAATGGAGAATAATTATTGTACCTGCTGTGTGTGTATGTATGTATATGTATATTATATATATATATATATATATATATATATATATATATATATATATATACACATATATCTATATCAGCACTTTTAATATATTCACATATATATATATTTGTTCATTCACATCATTCCCTAACCCTCAAGGAGTGTACAATCTAGGGTTTTTAACTCACATCCATATATACACATACTAAGGCCAATTTAGACCGGATGCAAACTCCAGGCACGTGGTGCCGTGGTCGGGATTTGAACCAACAACCCTTGTACTGCCAGGCGGAAGTGCTAACCATTTAGTCACTGTGCTGCCCGTATATTATATAGTGCATTCATAGAGTATTCAGACCTACTTCACTTTTCAGTTTTGTTATGTTGCAGCCTGATGCTAGAGTTGTTTAACCACTTGTCCTCCAGAGGATTTACCCCCCCCCCCCCCCCCTTCCTTACCAGGCCATTTTTTGCTATACGGGACTCCATTAATTTAACTGACAATTGCGCAGTAATGCAACGCTGCACACAAATGAAATGTATGTCCTTTTTTCCCCCACAAATAGAGCTTTCTTTCATTGGTATTTGATTGCCCCTGCGATTTTTTCTTTTTCATTTGTGCGCTATAAACAAAAAAAGACCAACAATTTTGAAAAAACGCCCAATATTTTTGACTTTTTGCTATAAAACATAGCCACTAAAAAATTTTTAAAAAATCAAATTTCATCATAAATTTAGGCCAGAATGTATTCTGCTACATGTCTTTCTTAAAAAAAAAATCCCAATACATGTAAATTAATTGGTTTAAATTTATAGTATCTACAAATGGCGG